AACCCCCCCCCCCCCCCCCGCCAGCCTGATTGCCCCTCACTGCCTCTGCGTGCTGGCCTGATCACCCCTAACTGTCCCCCTGCTGGCCTGGTCACCTCCAACTGCCCCCCGCTGCCAGCCTGGTCACCCCTCATGGCCCCGCCTGCCGGACTGGTTGCCCCACGTAGTCTGCTCTTCAGTCGTTTGGTCAACCCTCACTAACCCCCCTGCCGGCCTGGTCGTAGACAGCCATCTTTGGAGGCCATGAGGGTTAATTTGCATATTACCTCTTTATAATATAGGATGGGTATTAAAACACTAGTTATTCCTAGGGAGAAGGAAAGGCTACAAAGAGAAGGGACCATTTGAGATGCATTTTAAAGAATAACAACAAATTTGTCGGGCTGAGAAAGGGAATGGGCTGGGGAAAGACATCCCAAGAAGGTGAAACCACACGAGCAAAGTCACAGAGGAGAGTGAAAGTGCTTAGCATTTGAAGAAAGGATACATAGTTCAGTGGAGTATATGCCCACAGTGAAGAGGGCAGAACGGAAGCTTTCAGTCAGTCTGAAGACTTCAGATACCAAGTGAAGAACTGTACTTTTCTATATAGTTCACTCATATCTATAATAATAAAGCATAATATGCTAATTAGAACAGATGTCCTTCCGGACGACCTTCCAGATGAAGCCGGGGCTGCGAGGGAAGCCGGTGCAGGCAGCTGGGGGAAAGAAGGCCTACTCTTGCACAAATTTTGTGCATCGGGCCTCTAGTGTGGCTATAAAACTGAAAACAAAAAATGGACAAGCAAGACAGAAATCAGAAACTCATAGACACAGACAATAGTATGGAAGACACCAGAGGGAAGGGGTGGGTAAAGGCTAAAGGAGGTCAAATATCTGATGATGGACGGAGATTTGGCTTTGAGTGCTAAATATACAATACAATATACAAATGATGTATTATAGAATTGTGTACTTGAAACTATATAATTTTATCAACCAATGTCACCCCAACAAATTTAATTTAAAAAATGAAATGGAAAAAAAGAACTATACACCTCTAGCTAGTAATCTTCCTTTTTTGTCACTAGTTTACAGAAATGAAACCTCTTGTATGCATGCATATTGGGCCTGTACAGGCAGCTCATTGGTTACTTTACTAACGATTAAAATCCACCACCGTCACTCTCGTCACCAACTCTGTTATGTAGGGACCCTGAGGTTGTTTGCGTCAAGAGAACTGTCTTTGTCAGCCATCCTGCACACTCTTCATTACAGCGATGCATGTGTGATATTTATTGACCTACAGAATACATTTGAATCCCATTAAACCAGTTTACACCTTTAAATGACTGATCTAATAGGATAAGTGGCCTGAGTGACACTGTGGTAATTAACCTAGTTAAAACCGGAGAGGAGGGAAGGAAAGGCGAAATATTTTAGGCATGCCATGTCATTTGGGCAGCTTCACCAGGAGGCTACAGCTTTATTTACACTCCCCAGGGAGCCACCACAGATGGCTGGGGGAAGGGACTGGATAGGGAGGGGAACAGATGCATGTCCGGTAGAGCTAGGGTGATGATGGGAAGGTCCTTGGCTGTCAGTCACACCTGGGAACAGTCATTGACCAGCATGGGTGTGGCCACTGCAAGGGCACGAAATTGGGGACATTTAATCCCCTAAACCAGTCACCGCCAAATGCGGCTCTTTGGCCCCTTGAGTGTGGCTCTTCTACAAAATATCGACTTCTGCGCATGGGCCATGAAGTTTCAATCGCACTGTACGTGCGCGCCTGCACGCGGTATTTTGTGGAAGAGCCACACTCAAGGGGCCAAAGAGCCGCATGTGGCTCGCGAGCCGCCGTTTGCCGACCACGGCCCTAAACAAAGGAATTCTCCCTCTTGGGCTCTTGTGCTCTTGGTTTGTCTTGGTGTTGCGCTTGGCTCCTGACTTGAGGGGCCCGCTGGCTCCTGCTCCCCGGCATTTGCCCACCGTGTGGACCCCGCACACAATGGACTGACGGGCTGTAACGAGGCTGCTGCCGAACTGGACCGGCTGCCGCATGGACGGAAACTCTGGACCAAGGCTTTGCTTCTAGCCTCCTGAGACCCCAGCTCCACGTCTTCTCTGCCGGGAAGGGGACTGGAGACCCAGGGGTGTAACTCCTTAAGCAGATCCCACTGAAAACCACAGGTGACCTCACGCTTCCTCAGCTCATCGTGAACTTCACAATCAGACAAACGCTCCTCGTCAGCAGCAGAGACCCATGTGGCCTTGCCAGATGCAGCAGCAGCGTTTTACTCGCATCCCCTGTGCCCGGTGCAAGCTGTGAAGAGCCGCATCCCTTGGAGTTGCCATTGTTCCATTTAGCTCTTAATTGGCTGAAGAGCCCTGCCTACCATGCATCACCTTGAGTCATAAGGAGTCTAGGGCAGTGGTTCTCAACCTTGGCTGCACATTAGACTCACCCGGGAATCTTTTTAAAATCCTGATTTCTGGGCCTCATCCTCCGGAAATTCTGTTTCTTTGTTATGGGGTGTGTGGCCCCACCCCGTAACAAAGAAACAGAATTTCCGGAGAATGAGGCCCAGAAATCAGGATTTTAAAAAGATTCCCAGGTGATTCTAATGTGCAGCCAAGGTTGAGAACCACTGGTCTAGGATGTCCTGATTCTTATTCAACTCACCCCAACCTTTTCTTGTCTCCTCCCCCAGCTTCTATCACCCCCCCACCGCTGCCCCCCTCAGTCCCTCTTCCCCACCGAGTTGGCAGCAGTGCTGGCCTCCCCGAGTGGCATCTCCTGCCTTGCAAGTGTTTAGCACTGAAAGGCCTTGCCTCCCTGCTCAGCCTGCATCCCGCCCTCCAGGGACCAACCAGCCTAATCTCAGCGGAGCCTCTCACCCCCCACACAGCCCAACCCGGAGGCTGAGCACAAGTTGCTGCCTGCTCTGAGCTTCTCCGCCTCCAGCCTCCGCCCTGCCAGGCCTCCCCACCCACCGCCTCTGTCCCCGCCCTGTCTACACCTGGAGGCATCAGGCACCTGAGCTCCCAAGCCACTTACACCATTATCTTCACTCCCCAGCCCTAGAGCCATTTCCTGAGGCAGCTCTGAAGCAACTTCCAGCTGAGGAGGAGCCGGTCTTCTAGGACAGCCCCTTTGATCTTTTATTCCCCCCATGACCTATCACAAGAAGTACATTTACACCCTGACCTAGTGCACACACATATAAGCTGCAGAAAATAGAAACTAATATAATACCCCAGAGGAAAGGACAGACTATACCAACTAAATCCTGCACAGGATTAACTCAGGTGAATTCAACCACACATTTAAGAAAAACTAGAAATATATACTGTATATGTGTATTCTTTCTTCTATTGTGCACATTTCTGTGCCATAGTAATAATAGCTAATGCTTCTTTAGCACTCGCTCTGAGCTGGCCCAAATATTAAATCAGGTAATTCCCTTAACACTCGGAGGTAGGTGCTAGTATTAGCCCTCTCTTACCATGAAGGAAACTAAGGCAGAGAGAGAGGCAAACAAATTTCCCAGGGTCACATGGATAGGAAATGACCGAACCAGGACCTGAACCCAGGCTGGCGTGTTATGGGACTATGGCTCTGTCCCACACATTAGACACGTATAACTTTATATTACTGCATAGAATTATGTTCACAAAACAAAGTATACTTTTATTTATGTGTAACTTAAGGGTTCTCATAGGTTATTATTATCAATGTGATTCTGGTTGCATCCACTTACTTTATAGTCTTATACCTGCAAGATGCAATTCACAGTAAATACATTTGACAGACACATTTTTCCAATTTAGATGGCTATCTAAATGCAATAAATTGTTAAGAATTAGTATAATATTTCTAGTTAAACATAAACACTTTTAATAAATTACATATCTAGATCTCAGGACAGATTGGTATGAATGGAATAAAAAGTAATTTAATAGTACATCATTCTA